CACCACCACCACCACCACCACCACCACCACCAGGGTCTCCAGACGATTCGGATTATTACACCCCAAGAGTCGACGTTTATGAAATGAACCAAGAGTTGCAGGGACAGCAAGATAGAATTTCCAATAGTAGTGTAAACGATCACGGATGCCTCCGTTTTGCCCTCGTTGCTGTTGCTGCTTTTGTTCAACATCTCCAATACCATTTTCTCGACGAATATGCCACGCAGAAGCTCATAGGCCATGCAGTATACTAATGAGCATAATCCCACCCCAGTAACCCATTACAATCCACCTCAACTGGACCGATCTCGGTAATGCACGATCATTGGCCAGCTGTAACACATGGTTAGCCGTGTCAACATATGAATGGTTTGGGAGGATTTAACATCTCACATAACTATGCAGGGCAACGACATAATATGAGTATGACAGCACCATAGCAGATGTCAACAGTGAACCAGAATATTGACTGGGATCAATCTGCGAGAGTTCCGCCAAGTATGCACTCGTCAGCTCATTTGATAGCCCTTTAAGATCCGAAGGACTGAAGAGCTCCTTGCAGTAATCCTCCCATAGCTTCACACCCGGCAGAAAGCTCTTCGTCTGCGCAGCGAAATTCCACAGACTTGTTGCACACAGCTTTTTGAGAGGAAGGGCCGAGCATCGTTAGGGATGATAGTGGTTTATAGATGGAGTAGAAGCAATATTGATTCGGACTAGAGGTTGAAAGTCCTCCCCAGGGACCAGAATAAAAGAGGCCCGTAAGGATAGAGAGCAAAAAAATATATACGTGCATTGAGTCATTGGCCAGTGCCCTAGCAGCTATTAACCTCCGTAGCAGTGCAAATTCTAGGCGTATATTTCGATTGATACACCTTCTGCTGGCTTGCTTTTGTACTCCACTATCTATGTTCTGTTTCTCATAGCTCTCCCACTAGCTTCGGGGGCAACTGAGTCTTCAGCTACCTTTGCGTGGAATGCCAAAACCTTCATTTGCCGAAGAGGGTAAATTATCAGAAAACGTGGAGGACAAGGCCAGGAGAACCAAGTAGGTGCACTCGGTTGCCAATGAAACCAAATCTTGTGGGATATTGATAAAAAAATCGAACATGCCACGATGGATGACATGGAAAATCCCATTTGCGCAGATCATACACCGCTAGAAATATTTAGTTTATCAAAACAACTCTGAGAAGCAGTTCCTATTATACACGTCCAGCGATCTATGCACCATGAGGTTTATTTTCGCTATAATATAGGCAACGTTGACGATCTAATGCTCAAAAAGCCCTAGTACTATAGTTTCAAAGCGGTTGGTTATCAGATTGTCAACCTAATAAGTCTCAACCCACTTCTCTCCGACTGGCGAGCCTTTAATGGAAAGCTTGCTGATCATCCCATCTAGAAAGCCGAGGTGAGATGATATACTCCCAGATATTCTTGGACCTATGACGACTTTATGTCGGAAATCTCAGTCATCGAGAGTCGTAATTTGGGTTGGACCAGGCGTTCTATCGGCGAGAATATGCGTGATAGAAACCTAAATTACACTCATTTGCTTGCAAGAGATAGCAGCAGGTCTATTTCCATCTCGCCATGAGCAACTATTGGGATGGGTATGTGGCTGAGCTATGTATCAGCGCCCAGAAAACCCAATACCGAATAAACTTTCGCAGGTGAATTGAATGTTTCATCTTGAGTTCCCCACGCCCTGTTTGTGTGACCACCAGAACGAGATGATCGACGATATACGGTTAACTATATTTTGTCAGTGGGGAGCGCTTTGACAAATAATTTTCCGGACCATTGCCTCCTTGACGCTCTCGTCGGGGACGACTGATGCAATCATATAACTCGATGTCACAAAATCTAGAGACCAAATGTCTTCATAGTACTCCTACCGTTCTATGAATCACAGAAGTTCCAGCCACTTGAGGTTTGCCTATCAGTGCGGGATGATCGGCGCATCTCTTGCTCCTCAGACCAATATGATTTAACTAATGTATCAATGATATTCTGATTAGGCGAGACAACTCGATCCCGAGGCTAAGTTTCACTTGACTAGCATTGGCCATTACACAAGATATTCCGGAATGGTAGTCCAAAACTTCAAACGATGTGCCAAGAAATATGTCTGCGGGATATAGAACCATATTTTAAGCCTGAATCTCACCGAAGTTTCCATAGTCTAGTGGTTAGGACGGCGGTCTCATAGCAATATGACGATTCCTACTGTAAAGGAATTGAAATCCGCAAGCACGAGTTCGATTCTCGTTGGAAGCATTATTTTTCCACTTTTTCCCCCCCTTGATTTCTATACTGTCTCCATCACTGGAATCAGGAGGAACACAAAGCTTTAGTGGACAAGGTACGGAGCACGAACAGACGCAACACATGCCACGGAGCGTTCGCCTGGATCTTCACCACGACTGACAGATATGGATGTATGCAAGCCGACCCGGGACTAACACCTATTCCTACCAATGGAGTACCAAAGATCGGTCAATCCTACCATGTTCGTCCCTCGCTCAATTGAACCAGCCTGGCGAGCAGGAGTTGTATGTGTAGCTCCTTTCTCTGCTAGGCAGGGTTCGGACAAAGTTGTAGAGTTAGACACTTTCTAGGGTCTAGCGAGGTGTCTGACAGCGACTAGAGCCTATATAGATGGAGCAGCGAAGACGGGAACCGAACCCATTTTACCTGGTATACTACGGGCCACACTTTTTTTGATCGGTGCTGCCAGACGAGGATTTGACCTCCCACAACAGGGAAAAAGCATCAACCTAAACCCCCAAGCACAGCGGCAGCTACTTAGAAAGTGGCTGGAAGTGTCTCTCAAGCAACGAGCCAAAGAGAAAAAATGAATGCTTCCAACGAGAATCGAACTCGTGCTTGCGGATTTCAATTCCTTTACAGTAGGAATCGTCATATTGCTATGAGACCGCCGTCCTAACCACTAGACTATGGAAACTCGGATGATCTCTGTTAAAGTGTTATGCTATATAGGCTAATAAGAACAGTGAAGAAAGAATTTACCATCCTTCACACCCATACAACCTGTTCTTCTGATTTCTATTGCACCAATGGATCTTATTCGGGTATATGTCTATAATTCTGATTATAGAGGATGTTCATGCTTGGTGCATTGTGACAGTCATTATTACATCCAATGGTTGGTAGATGATGCTGTTCACCGATAGCGCTGCGGCCGGTCACTATATATTTCCTCCACAGGAGGCATGTTTCTAGACAATGAGTCACCATCGAACCAACCCACAACACTTATATTAGCTACGCCATCACTACAGGCACAGCAAAGCATTGGCCACCAGAAAACCCAAGCCAAACCCCCAAGCAGATGAGAAATGCTGCAGCCAGAGACCAATGCTGCACCAACCAACGACCATTACACACATGGTCGCTATCTAAGCTCCAAGGCCTAATAGCCAGCTATGAGCAATCTATACTAGACCCCCAATGTACGCCTCCACCATTTAGTTGCCCAGAGTATAGCTCAGCCAATACAGTATAAATTCAAGTGTTAGCATCACCCGTTCACCTACTATATAAAGTAACATAACCCTGTCACACAAATCGATTCTTACAAGCAATAGCAAGACATTCGGGTCCAATTGGCTTCCCTAGAGTTCTGTTAGCGCTAGTAAAAATTTAAACACTACCGCTTATCACAAAGTGGAAAAAAAATATATAAGAACATCCGTTCGGCGTGTGATCTGAGTACCGTGGCTTCACGGCCACAGAGATAAAAAACGAATCGACCGACCTGGGACTCGAACCCAGAACCTTTACTTGCCTCAAGAGGCCTAGAAACTAGGAGAGTAACGCCCTACCATTGAGCTAGCCGGCCTGTTTTGTAGGTGGATATAGAGGAGATGTGATTTTATAAGCCATGGCATTTTGTACCCCAAGGTTGCAAGTCTTCACACAGTACAAGAACAAATCTCATTATCCTACTCTCCCGATGCCCCCATCTCCTACAATAATACATCCCCTCAACCTTCGCTCGATCCCACATAACCAGAACTGCAAAAGCAGAAATGCTACCGCCGGATATTATCAAGCATTCGTTCCCTCCAGCACCATCCCAATGCAAAAGCCCCACCAGGACCGATGGCCCAACAAGCCGTAACCAGTAACCCAACCAATCGAAACCAGGAAACGGGCTTCCCATACAGCTGGATATCACGGAAGGACAGGGAAAGCCATACCAGACCGCTTTCCAAAGCGAGCATGACGTCGGCCTGCAAAGAGCAAGCAATTCGTTTAGATCCGAGAAGATGTTGCCCGCCACCGAGGGAAGCCGTGAGGATAGAGAAAGCCCCTAGACTCGAGCATCGCTGGTATACGGACACAAGTCCGGTGATCCCGGCTAGGATGATGAAGGCGAGGCAGATGTAAGTCTTTACCGTTCGCCTGTGATTGATACTAGGAGCTGCAGAGTAGGCAGTGATGTATTTGGTAGAGCCAATTATGAACAAAACCATATGCACGAGTGGACCTAGAAATGAAAGCAGTTGCTTGATAGCGGACTCCTGGCTTCTGAACAGGCTCTCTGAATGAAAGAGGCCGATGGAAGTTAAGAGGCAGGATGCGAGAAGGGGAGCAAATTTCAACACATTTCTGACGGCTGAAGGGTTTGCCATGCGGTACTCAGTTGCAAGGAGCTCAGACAAGGGAGAAGTCAGAAAACCGAGGGAAAAGTAGCTTGTGGCGGCTACTCCTAGGCCGAATAGTCGGTATACCACTCCAAGAAGAGCCAGACTGGAAATATGCGTTATATTAGTTAGCACATGGCCGCCTTCCAGAGACCCTCTAAAGGGAAAGTGACCCACCGGAAGACAGTTGTCCATCGAGACGGCCGCGAATAGCTATCCAGAAACATGGAAATATAAACAGGCGCAATATTGGCGAGAATAAATAGCAACTGAAGCCAGTCCTGTGCGTCCATGTCATTGCTGCATAAAGCCAGGATAATCCGAAATGGGTTGAAACTGCCACCTATATACTGCTGTGCTGAGTTTGCTGCTATGTCGGTTCCCAGGTCAGGACTGCGCGCTGTTGTTGTATTTAGCCATGCTTGCAAAACACAAACAACCAGAGGAAACGCCCAAGCAAGACGCCTCCACCAGCTTTCGTCATGTATATTGCGATATCTATCGTCGAAAGGGACAGAGCAACTCATGGAGCGCGCCGGGTTTGGGATAGATGTTACACGCTCAGCACCAACGAGAGACTTGGACCAATTGTTGATCAGATACCGCCCTGCATAGGGAAGGAAATATTGCATGATTAGCGTGTGCCCTACGCTTGCGCAAGTCTCAAACCGGATTTGATTATTGGCCTTCCTCCAGATCTCCTTTACTCGGGGCTGTCGTTCCTTCTCCCAGGTCGATAGGCAACGACAGATATTATCGAATGAATAGGGATGCGTATCAGGGGAGTCTAGAAAGGCTATGATATGATTTGCGAGAGATGCGGCGCTTTCAATAGCACTATTTCCTCCTTCAGCTGTGTTTGGGACCATCTCATACGTATTGTTAGTGCGAAGATGCAGGCCTGTCATCACTCATAGCTGTTACCTTATGAATGGCGTCGCCAATGCAGGCATACCTGCCAAAGCTCCAATGTTCATAAACGACCTGCTCTAGAGGAACGTATGCGGTGGAGGCTACACCGTGGTAAAGCGTTTGGAACTGGATACCTGGTGCTATATTGACGTGGAGAAAGCGAGCGACGTGGTTCTTCAAATCCTGGGAGGTGTATCGGGGTAGAGTAGTCTCGTCATATACGCCGGCCATTGCAGCAATCAAAAACCAGTATACGCTGTTATGCTTGCTGGCCATGGCAATAAGGCAAAAGCCACTGCCAAAGACATGGTGAGAGTGCCCCGGAACCAAGCCTGGGTTGGAATTCGAGATCCCGAACACGCATGAATACTTCGACTGCATCTCTAACCTGCGCATAAGCAAGACAAGGAAAGACATGTATAGATCCAACAGAATAGTATGAATCTTGCTTACTGGGCTCCTTCTTTTCGGCAACTCTACCAGACTGCATTGCCTTCATCTCTCGCCACATGTTTTGCCGAACTGTGCTCCTGATTCCGTCTGCTCCGATGACAATGTTTCCAATATATTGAGTGTCATCAGCGCACTTCACCACGACACCAGAAGCAACAAGCTCGGTATTGATGACCTTCTTATTCAAGAAGACCTTTGTCTTGTCTTCTCGTAAGCCTTCATAAAGAATAGTCACCAAGGCTTTCCGAGGCAGAAACGCGAAGGGGTACCCGTGTCTAGTACATTTGTAAACTCAACAATATTAGCATGTCCAATGCAATAGGCGTTGGGGACATTTACCTCTCTTGCAGGATCCTCGGATACTCTTTCTTGATCAGACTCCCTGTTTCTGTCCATAACGACGAGACCTGCACCGGCGTCATCACCCGTGAAAGCTCATCAAACATCCCCAGCTGGTCTAGAATACGCAGACCGCTAGGAAGCAGCCCAATTGAAGCCCCTCGAGAGACTGCAATTTCGAAGCTAGACTCGAGAACCGTAAAGCGGATGTGCCTGTGCCTCAAGCAGTGTGCGAGAGTAAGGCCCGCAATGGAACCGCCCACGATGATGACATTGATGCCCTTTTGTGCTTCTTTGTCCATCACTCCTAGCTTAGCTGGCGCTGGTTTACTTTGGTGATAACAAATCCATGAGGAGCTTGGGCACGAGACTCTGGTGCTGCGATCTTCGTCCCTTTCCCTCAGTTTGCGGGGTTCGATAGAAAGGGCATCATCGTGACGACTGTGGGTATACTTTGGTTTAGGTAAAGCCTCTCCCTTAGATATTGGGACCCTCTATAGTCCCTAGCAAGTAATGCCAGCAACTTCGTGTATAACGAATGCACATGTGTGTCACTATCGCGATGGAGCTGAGCAAGACCTACTCCTACATAACATCCTCTATACTCTTCTGCTATGGACTCTTCAACCTAGTTCGTTATATACTGTTGAGTATGAAGGGCTTTCATCTCAACATACAAACGGAGAAAGATGAACTAGAACTACAGATAGGTCGGTATATAAGAATTTGCCTACCTAGCACATTTACTTCATTCCCTCAGACTAATCCATATACCAACCCACTCACCAACCAGCCCGCAATAACTTCTGGAACCTCTCCAAACACTGGTCCATTTTCACCCATCAAATCATCACCCTCAAGGACGGATTCAAATTCCACTACATCACCAACCGCGACTCCCACTCCCCTCCGCAACCCCCCAAACCCCTAGTAATCTTCATCCACGGCTTCCCTGACAGCTGGGTCCTCTGGCGATACATCCTAAGCTCAACCTTTCTCCAAAACTCCGCCATCATGATCGCAGTAGATCTCCCCGGACACGGAGGAAGCGATAGCCCGAAGGAATACACGTTGACACGCATACTAGGCCTCTTAACCGAGTTCATCGTCACAGCAAGGAAAGAACAAGGAAATATCGGCCCCAAGCGAACACAAACCGTCATCGTCTCCCATGACTGGGGCTGTATCCTTGCCATGCGACTTGCGGCCGAGGCACCTCAGCTCGCGGACCGGTTTATCCTCAGTAATGGGCCTGTGGTATGTCCCCCTCTAAAACCCCTTTTCTCAGACTACTTTCTTTCCGAGAGAAAGGCGTTAGAATGGCTATATGCAACTAATACCAACAACGAATCAGCCGGGTATAATCCTCTCAAACACGATTCAAACCCTAAAATCAGCACTCACTCTCCTAGCCCTCTCCCTCCACTCCGCTGAATCCTTCCCCGAATGCATCCTAAAAGCAACAAAAACCCTAGCCCCTCTCCTCAAACAAGCCTGGAAAATAGGCTACATCTTTGCATTCCAACTGCCCATGCCGTTACCTGTCTACCTCGGAACGACACGCAAAGCCGCATTCCTAAAGCTAGTCCATGAAATCGCCTACGGAGAAGCAGGATTCGAATTGCCAAGCGATGCTGCAGATTGCATGGCCAGTACTCTTGGACCGTCACTGAAGGAATACAACACCCGGACAGCGGAAGGAGCGACATACCCGATCTCAATATTCGAGGGCTCGTCTAACTTCCGGAACATGGTTCAGTATTATCGAGGTGAGATCGATGTGGCAGACTGGGATAAGTCTGCTAAGCTGGTTGCCGAGCTGGAGAGTCTTTCTGATGGAAGCAGTAGCGGCAGTAGTCAACGGGCTGAATGCCGTGAGTGTGTTCGTAGACCGAAGTACGCGTTACAGACTAAGGCGACTATTCTTTGGGGAATGGAGGACATGTTTCTGGAGTCGGGTCTCAGTCTTGGGGGGGTGTCGGATTATTTAGTTGGTGATAGTCAGGTTTTGAAGCTTCCTCGGTCTGGGCATTGGGTGCCGTTGGAGCCGGAGGGGCGTGCTGTGATGGGGAGGGTGGTGGAGTGGGCTGTTCGGGGCGAGAAAGAGGGTATTGAAGATGTGGTTCGAGGGTCTTATCCTGGGGTGGTAGTGGAGAGGGCTGGAGAGTAATTCTTGCCTGTTATTCTGTGCTATATTGTTTCCAGCTTTCAATCGGTACTCATAGGGAATGATACGCTGAACTCCTGTAGGAGCAATGTAAGATCACCATCGTAACACTCCAAAAAGAACTGTTATTCTCCTACATGGTACAAATAAAATCCCAGACAGAGAAAAATGAAAAACGCCGGTATTGACTCTCATCTAACATCAAGTTATATTGAGCACAGAATACAAAGAGTAAAAAGAGTATCTTTCAATGCATCACAGAACCAAAGTGAAACGAAATGAAGTATAACCCTTAACGTGAACCAATCATTTCTTCCCTTT